ACCCGGAGAACCCCCGGAGAATCCGGAGAACCCGGAGAACCCGGAGAACCCGGAGAACCCGGAGAACCCGGAGAACCCGGAGAACCCCCGGAGAACCCGGAGAACCTGGAGAACCCGGAGAACCCGGAGATCCCGGAGAACCCCCGGAGAACCCGGAGAACCCGGAGAACCCGGAGAACCCGGAGAACCTGGAGAACCCGGAAAACCCGGAGAACCCGGAGAACCCCCGGAGAACCCGGAGAACCCGGAGAACCCGGAGAACCCGGAGAACCCGGAGAACCCCCGGAGAACCCCCGGAGAACCCGGAGAACCCCTGGAGAACCCCTGGAGAACCCGCAGAACCCGGAGAACCCGAACCCGGAGAACCCGGAGAACCCGGAGAACCCGGAGAACCCCCGGAGAACCCGGAAAACCCGGAGAACCCCCGGAGAACCCCCGGAGAACCGGAGAAACCCGGAGAAACCGGAGAACCCGGAGAACCCCCCCCCAGAGAACCCCCGGAGAACGTGAGAACCGGAGAACCGGAGAGAACCCGGAGGAACCCGGCCCCCGGAAAACCGGAGAACCCCCGGGAGAACCCGGGAGAACCGGGAAACCGGAGAAAACCCGGAGAACCTGGAGAACCCGGAGAGAGAGAGAAACGGAGAAGAACCCGGAGAAACCCCCGGAGACCCGGAGAACCGGAGAACACGGAGAACCCGGAGAAAATGAAAGAAGAGAACCCACGGAGAACCCCCGAAAGAACCATGAACCCAGAGAAACCCGGAGAACCCCCGGAGAACCCCGGAGAACACCCGGAGAACAGGAGAACCGGAGAACCCGGAGAACCCGGAGAGCCTGGAGAACCCGGAGACACCCGGAGAACCCGGAGAACCCGGAGAACCCGGAGAACCCGGAGAACCCCGGAGAACCCGGAGAACCCGGAGAACCCGGAGAATCCGGAGAACCCAGGAGAACCCGGAGAACCCGGAGAACCCGGAGAACCCGGAGAACAGGGAGAACCCCGGAGAACCCGGAGAACCCCGGAGAACCAGGAGAACCCGGAGAACCCGGAGAAACTGGAGAACCCGGAGAACCCGGAGAACCCGGAGAACCCGGAGAACCCCGGAGAACCCGGAGAACCCGGAGAACCCGGAGAACCCGGAGAACCCGGAGAACCCGGAAAACCCGGAAAACCCGGAAAACCCCGGAGAACCCGGAGAACCCGGAGAACCCGGAGAATCCGGAGAACCCCGGAGAACCCGGAGAACCCGGAGAACCCGGAAAACCCGGAGAACCCGGAGAACCCCGGAGAACCCGGAGAACCCGGAGAACCCCGGAGAACCCGGAGAACCCGGAGAACCCGGAGAACCCGGAGAACCCGGAGAACCCGGAGACACCGGAGAACCCGGAGAACCCCCGGAGAACCCCCGGAGAACCCTCGGAGAACCCGGAGAACCCGGAGAACCCGGAGAACCCGGAGAACCCGGAGAACCCGGAGAACCTGGAGAACCCCCGGAGAACCCCCGGAGAACCCCCGGAGAACCCGGAGAACCCCCGGAGAACCCCCGGAGAACCCGGAGAACCCGGAGAACCCAGAGAACCTGGAGAACCCGGACAACCTGGAGAACCCTCGGAGAACCCTCGGAGAACCCGGAGAACCCGGAGAACCCCTGGAGAACCCCCGGAGAACCCCCGGAGAACCCGGAGAACCTGGAGAACCCGGAGAACCTGGAGAACGTTCCCGGAGAACCCGGAGAACCCGGAGAACCCGGAGAACCCGGAGAACCCCCGGAGAACCCGGAGAACCCGGAGAACCCCCGGAGAACCCCCGGAGAACCCGGAGAACCGAGAACCGAGAACCCGGAGAGCACCCGGAGAACCCCCGGAGAAACCCGGGAACCGGAGAAACCCCCGGAGAGAACCCCCGGAGAACCCGGGAGAAAACCCACGGAGAAACCGTGCGAACCCTCCCGGAGGAACCCTCATGGAGAACCCGGAGAACCCTCCCGGAGAACCCTCCTGGAGAACCCGGAGAACCCGGAGAACCCTGAGAACCCCCGGAGAAACCCCGGAGAACCCCCGGAGAACCCGGAGAACCCTCTCGGAGAACCCGGAGAACCCGGAGAACCCCCGGAGAACCCGGAGAACCCGGAGAACCCCCGGAGAACCCGGAGAACCCCCGGAGAACCCCCGGAAAACCCGGAGAACCCTCCCGGAGAACCCGGAGAACCCGGAGAACCCGGAGAACCCCCGGAGAACCCCCAGAGAACCCGGAGAACCCGGAGAACCCTCCTGGAGAACCCGGAGAACGCGGAGATCCCCCGGAGAACCCGGAGAACCCGGAGAACCCAGAGAACCCTCCCGGAGAACCCGGAGAGACCCCGGAGAACCCTCGGAGAACCCCCGGAGAACCCGGAGAACCCGGAGAACCCGGAGACCCCGGAGAACCCCCGGAGAACCCTCCCGGAGAACCCGGAGAACCCGGAGAACCCGGAGAACCCCCGGAGAACCCGGAGAACCCGGAGAACCCCCGGAGAACCCCCGGAGAACCCGGAGAACCCCCGGAGAACCCCCGGAGAACCCCCAGAGAACCCGGAGAACCCGGAAAACCCTCCCATGCTGCAGAGAACCCAGATATACCCCCAGAGAACCCGGAGAACCCCCGGATAACCCGGAGAACCCGGAGAACCCCCGGAGAACCCGGAGAACCCGGAGAACCCCCGGAGAATCCGGAGAACCCGGAGAACCTTCCCGGAGAACCTTCCCGGAGAACCCCCGGAGAATCCCCAGAGAACCCGGAAAGAGAACCCACCGGAGAACCCGGAGAACCCCCGGAGAACCCGGAGAACCCGGAGAACCCTCCCGGAGAACCTGGAGAACCCCCAGAACCCGGAGAACCCCCGGAGAACCCGGAGAACCCGGAGAACCTGGAGAACCCGGAGAACCCCCAGGAGAACTCTCGGAGAACCCGGAGAACCCGGAGAACCCCCGGAGAACCCGGAGAACCCCCGGAGAACCCGGAGAACCCGGAGAACCCTCCCGCAGAACCCGGAGAACCCGGAGAACCCCCGCGGAGAACCCAGAGAACCCAGAGACCCCCGGGAGAACCCGAACCCCAGGAGAACCCGGAGAACCCGGAGAACCCGGAGAACCCGGAGAACCCCCGGAGAACTCCCGGAGAACCCCGGAGAACCAGGAGAACCCGCGGAGAACCCGGAGAACCCGGAGAACCCCCAGAGAACCCCCGGAGAACCCCCGGAGAACTCCCGGAGAACCCCGGGAGAACCCGGAGAACCCCCGGAGAACCCGGAGAACCCCCGGAGAACCCCCGGAGAACCCCCGGAGAACCCCCGGAGAACCCCCGGAGAACCCTCGGGGAACCCCCAGAGAACCCGGAGAAACCCCGGAGAACTCCCGGAGAACCCCCAGAGAACCTGGAGAACCCCCCGAGAATCCGGAGAACCCCCGGAGAACCCCCAGAGACGGCGAACCCCCGGAGAACCTGGAGAACCCCTGGAGAATCCCTGGAGAACCCCCGGAGAACCCAGAGAACCCCCGGAGAACCCGGAGAACCCCTGGAGAACCCCCGGAGAACCCGGAGAACCCCCGGAGAACCCCCGGAGAAGCCGGAGAACCCCCGGAGAAGCTGGAGAACCCCTCGAAAACCCCGGAGAACCCTCCGAGAACCCGCGGAGAACCCGGAGAACCCCCGGAGAACCCCCGGAGAACCCCCGGAGACCGGGAACTCCCCGGAGAACCCCCGGAGAACCTGCAGAACCCCCGGACCCCGGAGAACTTGGAGAACTCCCGGAGAACCCCCGGAGAAACCGGAGAGCCCGTTAAGGCATTCGCGCGCCATTTCGATGACGCACCATACTTCAATGTGCCGCCCGACCCGACCCGCCCGCCAGGGTACTTGCGTGCCAATTGGATGATGCATCGTCCAACCCGACCCGCCCATTAGGGCATTCGCGTGCCATGTCGATGGGACATCGCACTTTAATGTCCCGCCCACCCGACCCGACCCGCCCGTTGGGGTACTCGCATGCCAACTCGGTGATGCATCGTACTAGAATGTCCCGCCCGCCCGACACGACCGACCCGTTAGGGTACTCCCGTGTCCCATCGATGACGCACCATTTTTTAATGTCCGGTCCGAACGACCCGACCCGCCCGTTGGGGCATTCGCGTGCCAATTCGACGACGCATCGTACTTCAATGTCCCGCCCGCCCGACCCGAGCCGCCCGTCAGGATTCTCGCGTGCCCACACGATGCCGCTTCATACTTTAATGTCCCGCCCGCCCGACGCGACCCGCCCGTTGGGGTACTCCCGTGCCAACTCTAAATGATTCACCATGCTTTAGAGTCCCGTCCGCCCAATCCGACTCGCGCGGTAAGGTACACTCGATGATGCTCCATACTTTAATGTCCCGCACGCCCGACCCGACCCGCCTGTCAGGGTAAGTGCGTGCCAACACGATGATGCAAGCTACTTTAATGTCCCGCCCGTCCGACCCGACCCGCCCATTAGGGTACTCGCGTGGCATCCCGATGGAGCATCCTACATTAATGTCCCGCCCGCCCGA